TCGACGTAGGCATATTATAGAAAAATTCTCGAAGCCTCATGTTGCGGGCGAAGTTGTCTAAATCTTGTAGGAACTGAAATTCGTTATACCCACCGGAAGCGGGGCAAAAATTGAGGCCACGTGATAATACAGACTTCTCGTCATCTGACAAACAGTGATTGGAAAGGTTTACTATGTTATCATGCTCGGATGTTCTACAGGAAGTTCTTGACGTAGCCCGTGACGCGACAGTCGTCAGAGAGGCCGGTATAGGTACATTATCACGCGCAAGTTTGCTCATCTTAATCTTGACAATCTCATCTCGTTTCTTAAGTCGATACTCATCGAGAAGTATTACTTGTTCTGATGATAACCTTGATTGGGAAAGTAGTTGTCGTACAGTGTTCGACAAAGATTTTGCTGAGTGTTCATAGTGATTTAGGATGATACGGGTCAAATTCAAGGACGCATTCTTTAGTGCATCGTCCCATTTTGCTTGGTGAGTGGGCGACAATTTAACGGCTGGATGATGCACAATCATGAGACCTTTAGGAACCACTGATTCTGACACGTAAGCATTCAATGCGGAAACATGCAACTCTGATCGTATCGTTTTTTCAACTACCTTTCTAGTGCGCAAAAAGTAGGTATTGTTGGAGGCAGAATACGTACCATTGCTAACATGTAGTCATTCGGGCTGTAACGTAGTGGCATCAGAGTTTCTGCACTGAACGAATGGGTTGCCAAGAAAACCAGAGGATGCAGCGCTTGGGGGAGAAGCGGTGGCCCGATGGCCACTAGGTGGAGAGGAGGTCAGGTTAGGTCGGACAGGTGGGGGGCTTGGAGAACCAGAGTCAGAAGGACGTCGAAGACGCTTGTTGGTCCTCGCGGGAGGGGCACAACTAGAAGGGCCAGGAAGCGAAGAGGATTGACGGTGTGCACCAAGAGACCCAAATGTTGGTGTACCAACAGATACACGGGAAGAGTTCAGAGTAGAACCGGAAGGAAGTCTGGAAGAGGTCATTGACGCAGGCGCTGTAGTGGAAGGAAGGGTGGAAGACTGGGTAGAGGAGGGCACGAAGGTGTCGACTGGAAGCCGCAGCAAAGGACTTGGCGATGGGTGTGCATTTGACACGGCAGGTAGAGCAGGGAATTCGGAAGTGAAATCGGCATTTGGTAAAGCGTCAACCGAAGAGGAATCGCGCCATGAAGAGGGCGTGCTTCTAGGAAAAGGACCGCACAGCCTGCGAATATGGCTGGCGATTAAAGCGACTCCTTCAAAACTTGGATGTAATCCATCCATGCATAGTGTGCGGCTGGGGGGAAGCCATTCCAACCCATGATCAATGAAGAACACTTGTCGGGAGAATCGGCAATGGTTGCGTAGCAAAAAATTCAAGTGACATGCTTCTCGATTGCAACGGCGAATGAATGCTCTATTCCTAAACTTTCTTCGACGACTTTCGGAACGTGGAAGAATAAGGCTTACGTAAATGCGCCTGACATTAGGGTGCTGTGCAATCACCGCTTCTAGTAGCGAGCAGTACTTTTTGAAGGCGAAGCGACCTGAAGAGGACGCAAGGTCATTTGTGCCGACATGGATAATCACAGTCTGTGCCGTATCCGGGATGAAGTCGAGCAAGTTGTGAACGTCATCAATGAGAGCACCGCACAACGAAACAAATGCAGGTGTGCCGGGAACAACGGGATCGAAATGTTGATGCAAATACTTGGTCTGCGAATCACCCAACACGATTGTGGAAACCTGGCATCTTGGAAACATCCATGATATTCTTTTCACTGTGGGTCGACCGGAATCCAGAGTAAGAGACATTGGAGGAGCGTTTGTCGCCGGATCCGGGAATAATAGGAGAATAAAAGGAGTTTGACTCACAAGTGAAAAGATTTTTTACTTGACGTTTCGACCGTGGGCCCGGCCTTCGTCAGAATGAAACAAAACACAGCAATGGTAACCACTTATATGCCAGTTGGTCACATGGATTGTAGATAGGTACAATCAATACACGTGGAAAAAATGCGTTCAAAATGTATCAACATACTGTTCGTCAGTAACATACTCGCGTAACAAGAAGATTCAACAGCAATTGACAGCTCATGTGGTGACGAAAAAAACACCGATAACAGAAGATTAACACGTGAAAAACAGCACCTACACTGTTACGGACAATTTTCAAGGATATAATAATAAAAGGTGATCAATGCGCATGACATATTACTGGCGCAAGAACGTTAAGGTGCCGGGATTTTCGTTGAGACCGAAAGCAATGGTACTGAATTTGTGGATGAGATATGATTCCCGGACTTCTCTGTCACGATGGGAGCTAAAGCCTGACTCTAGAATTGTAGCTTTTATCTTGCTGAAGGAATGACCTGGAAGCGCAACGTGTTTCGATAACGGTAAGTTAGGAAGGGAAATCGCGTGTGCTTTATGATTATTAAAACGTAGACGAAAGCTGGTCTCGGTTTGTCCAATGTATTGCATACCACATACAGAGCACTCCAGAAGATAGATTACGTTCGATGTGTAACAGCAAAAGTTACCCTTTATTTTAAGACTGAAACCGGAGGCGGTACTCTGAGCTGAAAGTGATGTTGTCATATGTGCACAAATTTTGCAGCGTGATTTATTGCATGGATGGCAACCCGAATATTGCGGTTTAGTAACTTTAGAGGATGTGACTAAGTCGTGTAAATTTTTAGAGCGTCTGTAGATTACTTTAGGTGGAATCGGGAAGATTGTTCGGAGACGTTGGCTTTGCAAGAGGATATTATGATGCTTTTGAAGAATACAGTTTACTCTGGGAGCCGAAGCTGAATGAGTGAGGACCAGGTTGGTTAGGCGTGAGGTGGCAGTCTTTTTCGGTGCCTTTAATAAGGTCTTGCGTTCGACGAGGTCAGCCTTTTTGAAAGCGTCTTCTACGAGACGGACAGGATAATTCTGTTTAACTAAAGATTCCCTCAGGGAAGTGCAGTTCTGGTGATAATCAGACTCATGTGTACAAACGCGTTTGAAACGGAGTGCCTGACTGTATGGAATGCTGGTCTTCCAGTGCTTTAAATGACTACTGTGAAAATGAAGATATTGGTGCCTGTCTGTGGGCTTCTTGAAAAGCGTGGTGCTTAGTCTGCCGTTCCGCAAAAAAACAGTAATGTCAAGAAAATCTGCGCGCTTGTCCGAGAATGAATGGGAGAATGATATGGAACTGTGAACATTGTTGAACGCTGTTATAAATGAAAGTAATGCATGCTCCCCGTGTTCCCAAATCAGGAAGATGTCGTCAATGTACCTTTTATAAAAAAGTGGCGTTAATGTTTGACTACTCAAGAATTCTTTCTCCAGCACACCCATGAAGATATTAGCGTAATTGGGGCCAATTTTAGTCCCCATGGAAGTCCCGTTCACTTGTACGAAATGGTCATCGTTGAATTCAAAGTTATTGTATTGAAGAATTAATTTCAATAATGTTGCTAATGTTGCGCCATCTATAGAATGGTCGGAGGCCGAACGCTCGTATTCCTGACGAACAGCTTCGATTCCGTCCTTGTGTGGAATGTTTTTAGTGTTTGTTTTTAGTGTCTGAGCCAGGCGTCCACATCCTCGCCAGATTTGCCACCGAACGTGCGAGGCACTATGAGATCCTGACGCAACCAGGGACCAGCCGTGCCCGAACCTGACACTAGCGGTGCTGCTGGGACTGGTGGAAGGTCTGCAGCTGCGGGGATCCGGTTTCGTTCTTCGCTGTGAGACATCTCAGGCGCCAGTGGTAACGGGGTAGTCTAGCAAGGTGACGGCTTCGTCGTATCAGGCGCTTAAAGAATCGTGCTGCTTGGTTGATTACCCAGCACATCCACTACAAAGTGTTACGACTGAATAAAGGATGACTGGGTTTATTCTTAAGGTGAGGATGAGATTGGACCCTCAGAAGTGCAGATGGAGTTGTTCTTGCTGCTGCTGCTGTTACTATTGTTGTGTTGCTTTTCTCTGCACATGGCTCGTACCAAATAGAGGGGATTGGTTGATTATAAGGTGAATATTCCCGATATTTTCAGCAGGAGTCCTCAGGCCGCACCCGACAATCTTGTCTTTCTCTCACATCACCGGCACATACCATAGCCCGGCTCGTACCGCAGCAATATATATGAAGAACGGAAGTGTATACCTAAAGGTACCCTGAAACACTTTTTGGAGTAACCATGGAAATATTTCACTAGAAAAGCGTATTGCCTCACAAATTCAATGCTGCAGAAGTTTTGAGAATCCGTCCAGTACGACCGGAGTTACAAAGTTTTGTTACATGCTGCAATCACATTCTCTCTTCTCTCGCCTTGATAAAAGCGCTGGAAGCTGATCAGGGAGGAGTGGGAGGGGCAAACAAAAAACGTCATGCGCGCCTCGTGACCTTCAGCATTTAAATTTTTTTTCTTCGAATGCGCGGCTTTCTCAGTGCGACCACGCGCGCACGTGTGGACAAGTGACAGCATCTCGTGGCGATCTCTGCAACAACCGAGCGCACCATGTTCAAATCAGTCAATGGCTGATAGATGGGAAATCTATGTGTGATTTTTGAGCGGCTTTCGTCATTGGTCGAGAGAAGAGAAAGCAATTTTTAGCTGACTTTGGTAATATATTGTGCATTCCAGGCCGCGTACTGCGCTATACTTTTTGGCTCACGTGTTCTCGGGAACCTGTACTATTGGCAGCGTTTTCTCACCATGCTCAAAAAGTGTTGCAGGGTTCTTTAAGCGTTCGTTTTTACTTGTTTGACACAATGCATTAATAATAATGAGGTATAGCAGAACTCATATATATATATATATATATATATATATATATATATATATATATATATATATATATATATATATATATATATATATATTATCCACCAGTGGATGTTGTACAGCAGTATACTACAGGGGGGTGGGGTACCGAGCTAACAACTGTAATTGCAATAGCGTAAATTTGTACATACAGGTGCAACATAAAATTTTGTACGTACTCTGGTGAATAGTCGGGTGAATCCCTGATGACTTCCCATACGCTGCGCGCCTTGCACATCGCGTTATGCTTTGTGGGCGCCCAACGAAGGTGGCTGTGGTTACCACGGGCGTCGCAGAATTTTCGAACCTATAGGAGAGAGTATACACATAACAAAAAGTCGTTAAGGGAATATACGGGCAGTGGCAGGGGCGAAACTCAACGCATGCGCAAAGTATTGTTAATGATTACCTGATGTTAATGATGTTATTACTAATATTAATGGAGAGTGTTATAATTGATTAGAGAGGCCGCAAGTTCGTCCGAAGGGGCAGGGTCGGTGTTAGCGTGCCGAAGCATGTTTTAGGATATGGTTTGTCCTTTTCAAACGCAAACGCAAGTGAATCGTTTTCGGATCCTCGCGTGTTAAACTTGAAAGAGCTTGTGGGGTTGCATGTTTACTCGAGCTCTAATCTAAAAATGGGGACCGTGACGCTAACCCAAAAAGTGCATGGTTAGTGTATGACGCATGCGCAGTGCCTAAAACACAATGCGACTGCGTACGCAAAGCTCTGGGTGCCTTTTACAGCGTAACTGTTAAGCCTTTCACTAGGTCGATTCGCTTAGGCCAAAAACTCGAGCAGCTTCAAGCAAATATGCCAGGAGCTGCTCCAGTTTTCTGGTGACGCGAACCGACAAAATATGTTTGTTTCGTGCTATAGCATAGAACAATGTTTGGTTTTGAGGTGGAATCAAACCCAGGCCGCCTGCATGCAAGGCAGGTGTTCTACCACAGAGTCACGCCATTGAATGACGCTGCTTGGGGAAAGAAAAAAAAGCCCCCTGTACATGCATTGCGAGAAGATAAAGGCAAGTGAGGTTGAGAAGGAAGTAAATGAGGAGGTGAAGGGCAGCAACGGTTATACGCCAGAAAGCTGGTATGTGCCAAGCTACTCGTATAGTGTATTCGTCATGCATAATATAGCATAGAAGGGGTGTGGGAAAGAGAAAATCACTTCGTTATTATATAGAATGCGAGTACTGGATAACGGGAGTAGGCATACATCGTTACAAAACCTACTGTGAAAGCGGCAAAAAGGTAATATGCGATGCCACATCACTAGCTTACCGGCTTTGCGGGGGCAGAAAGAGAGTCGCAGAGTGCGGCTTGTCGAAAATAAAGCACTTGAAGTCATTGGGTTTTGCGATATTCATCAATATAAAAGAGAACAATCTTTTCAACTAGTGCTGCCCAAATAATTGACATCTTACATCGAACGTGTTCAAAGCGCAACAGATGTTCGAGAAGAAATCATATTACCTTAGTCATAGATGACACTGTTGCGAAACTGCTATATACTGGTATATAAAGGTCTGTCTCACATTTAGTGACGTGGGCCAGTGTGTCATGGCACCATTTTCGCAAAGTCTTAAGTCTTGCGCCAGCAAATTAAGAAAAAATGGAGAGGCACGTACCTTTTGTATGCTAGACGTAAACATCAGTGATGATGCCGGCTCACTTGCGAGCTGAAAGATTTGCTTGAAGCCTATGTCCTTTCTCTGGCATTCCCATATACCCTCCTTGTTCAGATAAGGCCTGAAAGAAAGGACACGGTTTATTGTAGTTTGGATTTTGCGTAGGAGCCTCCTGTATGCACCATGAGGAAGGCTACGAAAACACGGGTCATGCTTGGCACAGTATTGGAAAGGTAATGTCTGTTTCAGTTCGGTCTCTACAGAACGCATCCGGAGCTGCTGAATATTGATTCTGTTACCTTAACTGAAAAGACAACAACAATTTAGACGTCGCGATACCTAAAAAATATTTTTCCCACACGCGAGAAAATAATTGCCCAGAACCGCCACTTGAATTAAATATGCGCAAGCATTAGCGCACCCTCCGAGAGGCCACTCCCAAGCAGTCACGTGTGCGACGTCGTATGTGGTGCGACGTGTGTCGCAAACGTACGTTTGCTGGCGCGACGAGCCACGGAATGAAGTGTGGTATAACGTGTGGTGTGTACTCATGTACTACAGTGGTGTGTCAGTCCCGAATATAATAAAGGTTTTTGAAACCGATCACCTCAGCCACCACGTCGTCACAACCATCTTTTCTGCCACACCACAGTGGTTTTTAATCACCTACAATTATTTGTACACTGCCATAAGAGTTAGCTTTGTTATAGCTAACCCCGAAGTTTCCAGCTGGAACCCCCGAAATTATCAGGTTGGTCCACCTCCCAAATTTTATGACGCTATCACCTAGCCACATGATGTTTCTCATGGAGCACATCGAAATTTGCCCACGGCACAGGAGGTCAAGTTTTGGCGGGAATGTTGTGAAATCCAAACAGATTACAAAGACTTGAGAAAGATAAAAAGAGGTAATAGTTTCAGCTAAGATTTATGTACAACACACACACACACACACACACACACACACACACACACACACACACACATATATATATATATATATATATATATATATATATATATATATATATATATATATATATATATATATTGTAACGAGGAGAAATAAGACAAAGAGACAACGCCTTTGCTGCAGGCCGGCTGTTCTTTATCTGCCTCCTCTTCCTCGTCCTCCTTCTCTTCCAGGTATGCGCCGAGCACGATCGCCGCTTTGTCATCATTACACTCGGCCACGCTGCAGCTGGTCTACTCCTGTAAGAAAAACACAAACCAATGTCACGTTTGCCGCCGTATGCAGTTCTTCATCCGCGACACATGCACCGTAAAGTTATTCCGTTTTCTCTTGTCTCTGCGCGTATCAGAAGCTGTGGATCGTACTCGCCAAGTGTTATCTCCCAAGCGCTCAGAAATAATGTAAGGGCCGTCGTACTTTGGGTGCAGTTTGTTTGAAGACGATGGCGCACCTCGCTGTAGCCACACCTCATCACCTACACTGTATTTCGGCGCGGGACGGTGGCGTCGGTCGTAGTATCGCTTTTGTGCCTGTTGAGCATGCACAATCCTCCTACGCGCCTCCACACGGATATCGCGACAAAGTGTCTGGCGTGCAGCGGAACGCCCTACTTTAACGGGAGTGTCCAAACCGAACGTAGCATTCAGTTGCGGGAGCTGACCATAGACAATCTCGTAGGGGCAAATTCCTGTGGAGCTGTGTGCCGCCGTGTTCACTGCGTACGCAGCTGCTTGGAGATGATCATCCCAGTCGGCCTCACCTCGTTTGTGATTCTTACAGTACGGTGCGAGTCTAGCCTGGATAGTCTGGTTCGACCTTTCGGTCAGTCCGTTCGCCTGTGGATGGTATGCCGACGCGAAGTGATGGTCCACTCCAGCTTGTTGTAGGTAAGTGCGGAGCTCGCGACTGCGAAAGGTGGTCGACCGGTCTGAGATCAACTTGTTAGGAAGACCGTGTCGCCATTCGAAGCGATCTTTCAGGAATCGGATGACATGGCTAGCAGCAAGCGAAGGCACGGCCGCGACCTCTACGAACTTGGACAAGTAGTCCACAGCGAGTATAATGTAACGATTGCCCGCTGTCGTCATTGGAAGAGGCCCGATGTGATCTATGCCCAACGTGTGGAAAATTGTCTCTGGAGGCTTGATCGGCGTAAGAAGTCCATGTCGAGCTCCAGGACGTCGTTTGTGTTGCTGACAAATCTCGCAACTGGCAACGTATGAACGCACGCTTTTATCCATTTTCGGCCACCAAAAACGTTCTTGTGCCTTGCGTAAGGTGGCTCTGTAGCCAACATGGCCTCCCTCGGGAGTGTCATGGATGGCGCGTAGTACGCTCGATCTTAAGGTGTCAGGAATGACCAGGAGATGACACTCGGTGCTTTTATCGGCCCAGTGACGCCGATACAGCGTTCCATTACGTAAGACAAACTTGGCATTGCGTCCCGCATCGCCAATGGAGTCTATAACGGATGCGAGTCTTCCATCGGCTTGCTGAGCCTTGGTCACGTCCTGTTGCGAAAACAGGATCCAGGTTTCTCGATTTCGTGTGGAGAATTCCTCGATCGGATTTCGCGATAAAGCGTCCGCAAGCTGATTTTGTGCTCCAGCACGGTGACGGATGTCGTACGTATAGTCTTGGAGCCGAACAATCCATCGGGCAAACTTGTGCTTGAGGTGCTGCTTCTGGAACATCCACGCAATCGCGGAGTTGTCTGTTACTACCGTGAAGTGTCGGCCAAACAAGTAGTGGCGGAACTTTTCATCCACACTCCATACTACAGCCAAACACTCCAGTTCATTCGAATGATAATGCCGTTCTGCGTCCGATAGTTTACGACTGGCGTAGCAGATGACGTGCCCACGCCCACTCGAGTCACGTTGAAGTAAAACCGCCCCCAGGCCAATCTGACTCGCATCAGTATGGACTTCTGTCATCCAATCTTCATTAAAGTGGCAGAGCACCGGGCTATGTGTAAGCTGGTGTTTGAGGGTTTGGAAGGCGTTATCCTGCAAAGGACCCCACTGAAATTGGGCGTTTTTCTTCAGTAAGTCCGTGAGTGGAGCAGCAGTTGACGCAAAGCTCGGTACAAACTTGCGCAAGTATGACGCCATTCCTAGGAATACCTGGAGCTGTTTTATAGATGTTGGTGCAGGGTATTTGGCAACGGCGTCTATGCGTTCAGGCAAGGGTCGTACGCCATTATGAGATATCTGATAACCAAGATAAGATATTGTCGTCAACCCAAACTGGCACTTCTCGCGGTTAAGTCGAAAGCCGGTGTTGTGTAGCCTCTGCAGAACCGTGTCGAGATTTTGTAGATGTTGTTTTTCTGTTTCCCCGATGACTAGAACGTCATCGAGGTACACGACGCAGGCACGGTCTATCAGTGTGCCTAACACTGTGTTCATGGCACGCTGAAAGGTGCTTGGAGCAGTTCGCAGACCGAACGGCATCCGATTAAACTCGTACAAGCCAGATGGTGTTCGGAAGGCCGTCTTAAACTTATCTTCTTCAGCCACGTTGATCTGCCAATACCCTGCTTTTAAATCTAGCGACGAAAAGAACCTCGCTTTTCGTACGGCGTCAATAGCGTCGTCAATGCGTGGCAGCGGGTACGAGTCTGGTATGGTGTGCTTGTTCAGCTCTCGGTAGTCAACACAGAATCGGAGATTGCCGTCCTTTTTACGGACTAGGACAACAGGTGCTGCCCACGGGCTAGAAGATGGCCTGATTATGCTTGCGGCAAGCATTTCTTGCACCTGCTGGTCAATTAATATCCGCTCTCGTTCGGCATATCTACGTAACGGTATGGACACCGGCGGATGATTGTCGGTAGTAATATGGTGCACTAGCACGCTAGTTCCGGGAAGCTGAGTAGTAGTATCAGCGAAGAGCGATGCGTGCCTCTCGAGTATTGCGGGAAGTGTAAGTGGCGTCGTCAGCTCACCTTGGGATTGCGCCGGAGGCACACTTGGAGCCACAGGATGGAGGTTGACGGTACTTCCTTCCACCGTGAGGCGCACTTCCCCGGAGAGCAGGTAGTCGGCCCCTAAAACCATGTCTGTGGGCAGGTCGTCGAAGACGGGCACCGAGGACAAAAACTTGCTGCCGGCCTCGGTGTTGAGTTGCAGGTTTAGGGCAACGACCGGTAGTACGTTGAGCTCCGGTATCAACGAGAGCTGTCAGTTCTCCGATGCCGTCGACGCGGACCTTGAGGGTTGGAAGTGGGCGTGATTGATATTGCATCGCTTGAGGTTGGCTTTGTGGGCAGCTTTTATACCCATGCCCGATGCGGCCACACGTATAGCATCCGCGTCTCGGTGAAGCTGACTCCTTTGGGCCAACTGCAGCCGCCCGGCGATGAGACGTGTCCTGCAACTCCATTGCCTGGCGTACGAAAGTGGAGATGTGGACTGGGTGGTTGTAGGCGGACAAGACGGCTGCGTGCGTCGAGTCATGGATCCCGTCGATGATGTACTGCCTGGCTGCGGAGGAGGTCCACTGTATATCGCAAGCTTGTAAAAGGTCCAGCTTGTCGTAGATGTAAGTCGCGACGTCCTCGGTTGCACCTTGCCGGCGTGACCGCATGGTCATGAAACGGTCGTCGTAAGCGCTCGGAAGCGGCGCAAACGCGGATATCAGGGCCGCGCTCCATGTTTGCCATGTAGCGTATGTACTGCCTTGGAAACGATGCCACGCTTGGGCAGATCCTCGCAGACGTCCTTCAGCGACCGACTTCTTAATCGTGTCGCTCCACGAGTATTTAAGGGCAACCGAGTTTATCACGCTTACCCAGTTGGTAGGGTCATCCTTGAATCCATGAAAATATGGAATTTCGTTCTCGTTGAACGATCCAAAAGAGGCGCAGCCAAACCCGGATGTCTTGAGCTCTTGGGCGAACAGAGAGAAGCCTCGAGAAATGGCCTCGCTGCAGTCATGATGCGGTGCCGCCGTGGAGGCTTGGACGCCGTCCGTGATCGGTGGGGAGTTCGAGAGCACTCGTCCACTTCGAAGTGTAGTGGACGCAGGGATATCGGGGTCAGTAGTTCGCGACTGCGCCATTGTAACGAGGAGAAATAAGACAAAGAGACAACGCCTTTGCTGCAGGCCGGCTGTTCTTTATCTGCCTCCTCTTCCTCGTCCTC